AAGATTTCGTGACAAAAATTCAATATGCCTGCAAAAGGAGAAATAGAGTGGAAAAAAATTGATTACACAAAATTAGAATAAATTCAAATTGGAAATATATAGAATAATACATAAATATATGAATATAAATTCGAAAATATACATTGTGCTAGAAACAGAGAAAATAATCGAACAATTATGCTAGAGAATTGACAGGTAAATAGAAAATATATTGCAAAAAGAATGGTAATCTACACATTAAAGGATTCCATTAAAAGTAGAATAGAAATGATAGAATAGCCGTAAAATTACCATAATAAATGAATTTATTATATTGCGAATTAAAAGATGATGATTTACAAAAAAAAAAAAAAAAAAAAAAAACTCTAGAATATTGCACATTATTAAGAGAAATGTTTCGATGAATTTCGTCGTTATGAATAAACGAGAGGAAAGAAAAGCAATGAACTAATCTATCATCTAACTAATGCATCAATTGCAATTTATATAGAAATTTTATAGTATAACGAGCAGGAAAACAATAGAGGATAATTAAATCAGGCGAGTCATAGTTTATGAAACGTCATTGCCATCATTAAGAAGATGAAGAAACGAGGGAGGAAGCAAACGGGCTCGATAAACAAAACATTAAAATACGAAGGATTTAGCCGAAGGTAGCTGCACTACCATCATCTACCATCCAGCATATTACGTACCAGTGACTTTTGTGCGACGGCGAGGGTAAACTCGTCGTCAGCGCCCGGGTCGTCGGGCGTCATCTTGGCACCAGGCGATTGCAGGATATTATACTGGCCAGGAAGATCACCGTCGAGTGACCTGATGGCCGCCCCTGTTCCAGCACTGGTTGACGGCAGATAACCAACGGGACTATTGCTCGAGCCGCTGTCCCGTTTTCCTGTAACGACCAACATTATGAATTCCCCGTTTAAATCGGTAACAATGACCATAATTTTCCTATCCCACGCGCTCGTGCGATTCATAGGTCGGAAAGCGTGATCGATCGTCGCTATAATTATTCCATCCTTCGTCTCAATTTTTCGTTCATTTTTCTCGTACCTCTAAATTGCTAACTATCGCATTCGTCTCTTCCTTCATTATCTTACGAATATTGTATTTGCATTTAGTGTGCATATAGTCAGCTGCGACACAGCGATAATGTTATCGCGCAAACCCTTATTGCATCGGCTATTACGAGGTGCGATGTAGCACAAATATTATTTGTATAAACTACCATGCGTTCTTAATGTCAAAAATTTTTCAACAAACGGCTTAATATATATATATATATATTAATTCCAATTTATTATATGTAATTATTTTATTAAACCCGCGTGGATCCTTATAAGTTAAAAATATTAAAAATAAAACGATTATTCTCGAAATATTTATTATTTGTTTATTAAAAAAAAAAAAAAAAAAAAAAAAAAAAAAAAAACATATATATATATATATATATATACACATAAGCCAATTATGCGAATGAAAATAATGATGAAATCTAGGCTTGATTATTGGGTTATTGGACAAAGGGTTATTGAATTTTGAAAAGAGCATCAATCTTCTGCACGAACATTAATAGTTTTATTTATTTCCTGCTTAAAGAAGAATTACTTGCCGTTTCATAATTTAGGGACAAATAACGCCCCTCTCCTGTTACATAAGCTCACCATTTTTATTTTATACTATCCTTTAATGAAATTCAGGATAATCAATGTTAATATTTTTATACGATTTTATTGTATTTTATTGTAGTGGAGTATACAGCAAACAAGTACTGAATATATTTCTATCATGTCGAATGCAAATTAAATTTTAAACTTTTCACATCAGCGTCAACGATCCAACATTTATACGTGCAGCACGCACGTAGATACACGTAGACCAAATTGTTCGAGACGGGAACAAGGACAAGATAATAAATCGTCTCGTGCCCACATATCGATATTACTCTCTTAGACGGTAAAACCTCATTCAAATAAATAAACGTTAAGCTCAACACGCATGCTCGCACATCTGTGTGTTAAAAAAAAAGAAAAAGAAAAAGAAAGCAAAAGCATGCGTTACAAATTTATCAAAATCCATCGACGATCCGTTTGCATATGCATTTACAAGGAACAAGGATCAGGGAGTCGTAAACTAAGGCAAATACACGATTAAAGGAATAAGAATATCGAATAAAATATGGACGGGACAAGAGTGCGGAGGCGTAAGATGATAAGCTTTAAGTCGCGGCATATAAGTGGATAAAAGTATTGGTCATTGAAAATTTATTTCACAGGGCTACAACGAAGAAACAGCAGCCCTTACTTTAGAATTCGGTTACGCCGCCTCCTTCTCCGCGGCGTAATTTACGATACTCATGTACCTGGAAAGTACGTCGGTCGAGTGACCTCGAGCTTACCACTGTTCGCCCGCACTATCAGTTGCGTTTGGCCAAGAGTTGCGAGGTTAGAGGCTAAAGAAAGACGTAGTTGTAGGATACCGAAGCAGATGTCGAGGTCGGAAGATGAACTTAAGCCGACCGCGTGAATTCGTTGACTCGATAAACGTTTGGGCGCATCGCGCTTTTCGTGGAAGGTCCGCCCACTGCTAATTACAACTTTTTCTCGGAGAAGTCGAGATTGGCGCGGCCCTATTCGACTTCACGGGCAATCGAGTGAGTTCGAGGATCCGCAAGTTAACCGGACGTCGAAACGTCTCGTGCTTTTTCAAAATAGAGATTAAGAAAAATTAAGTGAAATTCCGTTGGCTTGATAAACTTTGTTCCAAGGGTAATCGCTAATTGAATTTCTATTGTGTGTTTATTTAAACGTTTATTATTGACTATTTATTGAATTTATTATTGACAAAAAAGAATTATCATTGCAAAGCTATGACAAACACTGTAAAATTATGAGGATTTGCATAAAAATCGATAGGCAGGTAAATAATTAAGTTATTTATTGTGTATTTACATACTTAATCCAAATTTGCTAGTAATTTACAGGCTACATTGATAATATATATATTTCTATAATAATAATAATAATAATAATAATAATAATAAATATGCATACCTCTAGCTATAATTTTACATAGTAGAATAATACAGTGGGATATAACATTATACATACATGCATGCATGCATATGTTTATATGCATGTAGTTGCGTGCGCGCGCGCGCGCGTGGGTGTATAACGGTATACAAGGAAAAATTTGCATTTTTAAGAAACTTTAATATCGAATTGCGTCCGTTCTTGTTCTATTGTACATTAAGGGAACATTGCAAAAAAAATTTTTGCCAAATAATAAACGCAACATTTCGTTAGAGTATTAATAACGTGCTGCACTTATAAAGGAATTCAGTACGTCTGAAAATATTGTTCAATACAGCCAATAATCTACCAATATATTTGCAAATATTGTAATTTGTCAATTGCACCGAATAGTATTAGTATAATTTTTGCTTACATTTCTTACGGATTAAAGATTACTGTTAATAAAGCTTTATAAAGTAATGTTTTAAGTGAACGTATATTTTTATGAATAAATTAATAAAATCTATTTTCCCAATAATTTTTATTAACGAAATTAGAAAAAAGGTAGAACAACTACGTTATATATTTAATAGAGAATTAGACTAACTGAGGTAAAGTAATTTGTATTTAAAATTATTTTTTTTTTTTTTTTTTTTTTTTTTTTTTTCAATATTTCTTTACAAAAGTAATATAAACTTTAGACTTTTAGAAATAATCAATGAGCAAATGGCGATAGATATAATAATACTAATATATCAACGATTTACTACAATATTATATCTAATAAAATAATAAAATAATAATAGAAGAGTTTTTAATCTGATATTCAGAAAATTGTAAAGTTGAGTCAATTACATTTAATTATATTAAAATTGTATATTGCGGGCCAAATAAACATTTATCCTCTCTTTATTCAATATTTATTTATACTCAAATATTGAACAAATATAAATTCATAACCCACTATTAATGATAAAGAGTTTAATTTATCATTATAATAATTAGCTATAATATATATAAACGATTTCAATTAGATTATATACTCTTACTACTTGATCTTCGGTAAACATCAAAATTTATACAATTTTATCACAAATAATTTTTGATGAATAATTATTAATTTCTTTGAGAATTGAGTGTCCGTATAGAAATTATCTTATTAATATAATTTTAATAAGTCTAACTTTTACAAAATTCTACAAAATTTGTCAGGTTTGCGATACTTTCACTTTCACATTACATCGATGTATTGACATTCTAAATTACTGTTTCCGATTCATTTAATTTAAACATTACTTGTAACGGTTATATGTAATGTAGCAGAATCAATGTACACAAAATGAAAAGTTATTGGGTAAACGATCGTAAAAAACATTAATTTTAACAGAGCTGACTAGTCGGATAACTTACGTAACTGCAACGGAAATAACGGTTTACCAAGCGAACCAGATTTTATTTTACACGAATGATTTTATTCACAGAAATCTTACATCGGGCTTTCAATTAAAGTGAATTAGACAGAATACCGTGATATAAAGGAGAAATGAAATTGCAAGAGCAGTAAGATGGTAAGAAGCTCGGTAAAGAAAAAGTGAGTGCACTTTCTCATTTCTCAATGATCACAACTACCAGTTACTTGCAATAGTCGCGTGTTGAATGGAAAAAAGCCCGAAGAATGGATATCGACCAAACGAATTCGACGAGATGAATTATCTTGATTTTGGAAAAGAGGAACTTTCGTAATCGTAAATTTCATCGACAGGAATGTAAAAAAAATTCAACAACATAATATTCACGGTCGGACAGTGACAATTACTTTTATCTTTAATTTTACATCGCTTTATCGTATGATGAAAGTAATACTCTTGAGCATTAATTCCATGATACAACGTACTTGTAAAAAAAAACATAATACTATAATTAATCAATTGTAGATTTGGCATTATAATTACATATGACATTATTTTCATGTCATAATTAACGCTTTTTTTTTTTTTTTAGAAAAATGTATATTTGCTCTGCAGTATATATATTCATGGGAATTTGCATAAAAAAATTTCATTCCGATAATGTTTTGTTATACACGCGGGGTCCACAATTGAATAATTTTTAAATAATAATAGTTAAAATATGTTTATATACGATTGAACATAAATGTCGTGTATTATTACGGAAATGTTAATAAAAAAAATTTTAATCCATTCGTAGGACATAAATTTGCATAAAAATTTGCATAAAAATAATATAAATGTTTATTTGTTTTGTCATTTTGGATCGTAGAAATTTTATTAATTGTCTTTCATCAGCGGATTGACATGAAAATATTATGCTATTCAGGAAAAACTGAATTTATTGACAAATTGTTATATCAATCGTAATATAATTAAAGTACTTTCCATTCGATCATTAATTACATTCGATGAGTTTATTTACATTGCAGCGATTTGCATGCTCGTGACCTTCTTGAAACATGGAATATTTTATAAAATGATAAATAAAGACAATTCTCGGCGAATTAGAACGTAAGGCAACGAAATTAATACGCTTGACTTTAACGACCGCCCAACGCGCGCGCTAATGTAAAAAATTTCGATCGTTCCATACTTAAAGGCAATGATTCATCAATTTATCGTTCCCGCGCCAGAGGGTTGCTAGATATTCTGCGAAATGACGAAATCATGGGCACATTAATGTAACTAATTAAACATTGAATTGAGCGAATCACTTGGTTTCTTTTAACGAATGCTAATTTACCTCGATCGTTCGAGTCACATTATATTAATGCATCGTACAGGAATTAAAAGAACTGTTGCCCACTTAACTGCTGAATTGTCTTCCATTACACGGATCGGTACTCACTGTCTAATAATTTCGTCTCATCATTACCCGCTTATGGTTTTTACAATTCGCCTCATAGCTGTTATTTATTTGCCAATTTATTTCACAAACGGACAAACGAACGAACAAATCAACGACCAAAGTAAAATAACGATGCAAGGTATCCAGCAGCTGTATTCAGCGATCGGACCCCCTTTCTTTTTCAAAAACGACGCAAACAAGACAAATACGCTAGGCGCACAAACCAATAATTACCCTCATTTATCTTATTTTTATGAATGGGGGGCCGTGTGTCGTCGTCATTGGCTCAGAGCCACACTCGCGAAAAAACATCTTAAGAAAGAGATGTAATTACGTGCACGAAACAATAGCGATTGTACGGACTTGTCGCTGAGAAATAAAAACTCATCGAGCGCGTTCTCAATACAAGCGCTAAGGAAAAAGTGACTCCTCGTCGTTAAAGGCTTAACCGATAATCAAGGGACGATAAACGCGCCCGAGCCTGTACCTTTTTTGAGGGATGGGCCTCGTTTCAAATGTCTCGCCATGATGCTCGACAGAAGCTGCATCCTCTCGTTAGTTTTGGAAAAAGTGCTGATCACCGAGACGCCCTCGCCTCACTCGGTCCCCATTAGGCGGCGAGTCTCGCGAGACTCTTCCCCGCCTTCACCCTGGCGTCCCGGTCGCGAGCGCGTGTCCGACTAAGGGCTCCCGATCCACCGTCACAGCGCGCCTGCGCCTCTCCCATTCGTCCACCCACCCCTTTCCACCGTTACCACCGACACACAATCCGACTCGCCAACTCCACCCCCTGTCCCGTCCCGTCCCGTCCCGTCCCGTCCCGTCCCGTCCCGTCCCATCCAGCGCCACCGTCGCAGCGACCTTCCGTCACTTCCGATGCGACGGTCGTACATCAGCACCGGACTTTGCTTTTCGTCGAGCCCGGAGTTAAGGCGCATTTCATTTCTCCCGACCCTCGGCCCTCGAGTATTACACGCATGCCCACACGATGCGACCGAAATTTATTCGAGGTCGCCCGCGCACCTCCCTGCGAATTATGCGCAAATCTATCGGCGACAAGTGGCGGCGGAGTCCGGGATACCAATAGACGGGATACGCTCGAGAACAATTGCACTACGTGGAGTTGGATCGACTTGGATCGAGGCTTGGACCCTCCTTCCTTCCTTCCTTCCTTCCTTCGATCCATTCTCCTGACTATAAAGCGACTCAATACCGAATAAAGCTTACCGTAATCACAATTGCCATCGAATTGGCCACTCCAATGATTTTTAAATAAATTTTTTACTTGGCTAAAATCGAATAACAAGGAGCGTTTTATACGAGCTATAATAATTCATAGTATTTTATCTTCAAAGAAATCGTAACTTTTCATTGGGCCTTGCCTTGCCTTACTTAAGAAAATAATCAAACGCACCTTCCCTCCTGCCTCTCCCGCCGAATAGCTGCTGCCTGAGCAACCTTTTCCAAAAAAAAAAAAAAAAAAAAAAAAAAAAAAAAAAAAGAAGGAGAAATAAAAAACCGCTTATACGATAACTTGTGCATACGTTATTATATCGATCGGATTACAATATTGTATGGACAATACTCGAATCGACGAGTAATCTCGATGAATTCTAATAGACTAATAGACTTTAAACCGGCATAGAACAATGCCTCGACTATTCATTCGCACTCTGCCAGGGTCTCGAGAGATCTCATTGGATATGCAAATTATTAAACTGATGAAGCGAGGGAATATTGGATCATAGATATTGTATTGTCACTCGCGAAACTGACAACTCATATTAAACACAGTCGCTTTTAATATTATCTCGCGAGATAGTCTACACCATTGCAAGTGGTGGCGAGTGCGACGAAGATACGCAATGTGTATGTCTCGCCTTTGGCTAGACTACTCTTTGCCGATTGTAAGCGCGAGTGTAAAATATTCTTCAATATTTCGTCTTTGGCTGATGAGGCGAGGCAGGTGTTAATGGACCGAGATTATACGGCGATTTTCGATATTATTTGTATCGTAAGCTCATTCGTATAATCATTTACCTATAAATTTTAGCTTTATGATCGTAATCATTGAAACGAATGAAAATCAAAGGTCTCCTTTGAAAAAATTGACAATATTCATATTGATTATTTATTGCATTTACACTATTTATTGCATAAGTAATTCGTACTATTAAGCTTACAGGAAAAAAAAAAACAACAAAACATTAATTAATATTTGCATACAAAGTAGTAATGTGCAATGAAAATGATGAACTCTTTTCACATTCTTCGGAGAAGAATTTATGAATTATGACGTTAATGTCTAGTTTCTTTTAAAACTTCATTACCATATCAATAATGTAGTCGCGTGCGCCTTTGTCCCCCATATATTTAAAAATATTTTCATCCTCAACTACCTTAGAGGATACTACTCTCATATACTCGTTTTTGTTTGTTTACTTAAAGATATTTTAATTACAGCTTTCTTACCGGGACTGTAATTAATTTTCTTTCACGACATGATAATCAACATAATCGAAGAATTTTATGAATGCATTAAAATTTTATTGGCTAATTGGGGGAATGAATTTCAACTTTATATTACGTTTTGCTATCTCATTGCATGAATATATGTATATATACGAATGTATGCGCGCTCGCGCGTACTCTTGTATGTTTGTGTACTGTCTATAAAAAATTGAAACTAATTTATATTCTCCAATATAGTAAGCGAGAGAGAGAGAGAGAGAGAATAAAGTAAAATCGAAGAGAAACATCGTAGCGCCGTGAAATGGGTTAGTTTGTTTTTGTTTATTATGATGTGTAAAAAGACAGTAGAAAAGTAAAAGTGTAGCGTGGGTAGGAGGTGAAATCCGAGCATTGAGTGAGAAAATAAACTTTTAGAGACAATCAATCTGTGAATACAACATCGTACAATATATTCGCTAATAGTATATAAAATTTTTAAAAAATTGTATCAACCAATGACTGAGGTTATCTTTCATTTACAATGTTAATAGAAAATACTTTTTCCTTTATAACTGTCTTGTATATTGATACTTGTTTTTTTTTTGTTTTTTTTTTTTTTTTGTTTTTACCAACGAATCAATATAACATTGGAATTATTTATTTGGAAATAATCTATTATAATTGTCGGTTTTTTTCTCTCTCTTTTTTTTTTTTTTTATATTAATTGAAACAATTTTACCTTTTGTATAGGCCTCCAAGTATTTTGTAAACGTATTCGAATTGTCGACGATCACTCGGGGAGGGGGGGGGGG